GACGATGTGCGTTTCTATGCTGTTTCGAATATTTTGAACACATCAACTGTTAATTTCGATTCTGATAGTTCTTCTGATTATTATGACGAGAAATGGGACAAAATGACCAGATATTTGGAATTCCAGGAAGCTTACTGTAATCCTTCAAAGTAAGTGTATACAGCTTGTTTTTATTTATAACTTTTTCACCGCGTTTATGTTCATCCAAAGGGATTTGCCAGCCCAACTGTTTCTTTGAAGAACTTTAGCGGCTTCGCGATTTTCTTCCTCGTTGCCTGGTGAGCAACATCGCCTTGTCTGAGTTTAGGAAATCGAATTTTTAGAACATCCGTTGGAAGCGGAAAGTATTTTCCTTTTTGTATCGGATTGAAAAGATATATCAAGCTAGGTGCGTTTTAGTAGAAGTCAAGAAGTGAAGACAGGATAACTTGTATAAATGGCATTTTACATGAATAAGTTTTTTTTTCCTTTTACTCCACTAAAAATTCATATGAGTTTATGAAAATATTATTTGTTTTTGTTTTAAAATTTTTTTCAAAAATTTATGAGTTTCAGATATAGGGGAAGATGCGATCCAAATAATCCAGAATTAATTGAATGGTTTGCGAAGAGGAAATTAACAAAAAGACTCGAAAATTGGGGTCAAATGATCGTCAATTAATCGGAGACATGAACAATTTTTATCATAAAAGCATGAAACGAAAAGGAGAAATGATCGTCAATTAATCTGGGCTCATATTTGTTGTGAATTTATCCCAAATTACAAATTTTCTCAATCTTTTCAAAAAATTGAATTTTTTTGATGCCAATTTTCAGCACATTGCTATCCACATTCCATAAGTTTCATACAAAAGAGCAGGGTGAAATGGCTTCTTAGTTTTGCCATTGGGTGCTGATAATTATAGCTCTACATATCAATGCTTAGTTGTTTTAGCAACTTGTTGGATTATTCTTCTGTATTCATTTTTTCCTTTCTTTCTTCCTTTCTTTCCTTCTTTCTTCCTTTCTTTCTTTCTTTTTACCTCTCTCTCTGCTTCTCTTTTGTGTTTTTTCTTTTTTTTTTTTTTAAATAGGCCTGTCGTATAATATGTCCATAATGCTTGCCCTTTTCGATAATTGAACGAATTTTGCTTGGATTTCGAGGGATTATTTGAAAACCCCTTTGAGGATCTGGTACTCTTTTTTTTGAGGGGTGAGGGAAGGGGGATCATTTATCTATAGGCCTGTCATATAACATGTCCATAATGCTTGCCCTTTTCTATAACTGAACGGATTTCGTTTGAATTTTGAGGGCTTATTTGAAAACCCCTTTGAGGATCTGGTACTTTTTTTGGGAGGGGGGAGGGAGGTCATTAATTTAGTGCAGCTCAGTCTGTACATAAGTTTCAGTGGTTTTCAAAAAATTTTATTGAAGGGGCAAGCGGCACTCTGTTTTAACGTGGTCTTTCTGTATTTTTCCATGTGCTTTCTTGTGTTCATATCAGTTTAAAAACGTTAAAATAAGCATAGAAAATTTAGAAATGAGGGTCTTTTTTTCCTAATTTTCTGGAAAAAAATCTTTGTTTTTATTAAAATCTTTATATTTGCCTCAAAAAGAAAGTTTTTTTTTCGAAATTTTTCGACTGTTGCAGCGGAGATTTAGCTTCATTCCTGCAAGGCAGATAGCTAAATTTATTTAAAAAAATATTTCATAAAAACGGGTTAAACGTATTTCTTTTTTTAATAAGCAACAAAGAATTTTGGCTGATCCGAGAAATCAGTCGAAAATTTCTTTGTTTAAAAATTCGGTTGTTTATTGCGTTGTTAGGAAATGTATTTTGTTCTTAATTTTTATTTTTTTTGCTGTATGCTTCTATTAGTTTTTGCACGTCTGGCAGCATTTCAGGATGAGATATGCACATTGGAATTATTTTTCTAAGCAAACGAGGCAATTGGTACTTGGACTCCCTGACTTATGGCTTCTTTGAAAAAGAAAAAGAGCATTTCAGATTTTTTAATTATTCAAAATTTTGATCGTTTTTTTAAAATTTTGGTTTTACTTTGTTTCATTTTGACATGTGTTTTTTTTTCTTTCATTTTTTTTTTTGGTAATTTGGAGTTCCCTGGTTTAATATAATTCCTTGCTTTCTAGAGCGATTTATCATCATTTTCCAACTGATTTTGGGGCTTCGTTAATTAAATTTTTCTCCTTTCTGGTTAAGCTTTGGGCTTACTGACTCAGTTTTTGAATAAGTTAGTTCAGCCGTTTTTGTGTGGGTGGCTTCTCCTGATGGAAAGCTGAGCATCAATTTTCCGAGGATCTTTCAAGCTCATTGTATAACTTAAATTTTGTAAACTTAGCCCTGGGCGCGCGTGGCTGATACATACGGCCCCGTGAAAGTTTTTGACCGAAATGTG